TCTGTAACTACTCATTTGTACTTTATAATCCCCTAATTTCTTCACCCATTCTCCCCCTCCCTCCACCCATCTGCTAACCATCTAGTAACTAACATCTTTTCTCTAACTGTTCTTAAGGCTCTCTCTTTATCTTTAAATTTTGGCCTTTTAATTGTGACGTATCTTGGAATGGGTCTCTTTGCATCCATCATAATTGGGACTCTGTGCTTCCTGGACTTGCATGTCTATTTCCTTCAACAAATTAGGGGAGTTCTCTTTTACTATTTCTTCAGATAGATTTTCGATATCTTGCTTTTTCTCTTCTCCTTCTGGCACCCTTATGATGTGAATGTTGGACCTCTTGAAGTTGTCCCAGAAGCTGTTCATACTATCCTCATTTTTTTAGATTCTTTTTTTTCTTGTTCTGTATGGTTGTTTTTTCCTCCTTATGTTCCAAATAAGGAACAAATCATTGATTTGATTCTCAGCTTCATCCACTCTATTGTTCTTTCCTTGTAAATTGTTCTTTATTTCAATTAGTATATCTTTGTTACTGACTGAGTCTCTTTTATGCTGCTGAGGTCCTCACTAAGTTCCTCGGGCAGCTTTATAACCAATATTTTGAACTCTGCATCCAATAGATAGCTTATCTCCATTTCATTTAGCTCTTTTTCTGGAGTTTTGATCTGTTCTTTCATTTAAGCCATGTTTTGTTTTTGTTTTTTGTTTTTTTGTCTCCTTGTTTTGGCAGCTTCCCTGTGTTTGTTTCTTTGCATTGGGTAGAGTTTCTTTGACTCTGTCTTGGTAGTGTGGCTTAAAGTAGTAGGTGTCCTATAGGATCCAGTGGTATGGCCTCCCCTATCACCCAAGCTGGGTACTCCAGGCGCACCCTTCATGTGGACCGAGTACACCCTCCTCTTGTAGTTCAGCCTTGATTGCTATTGGCAGACCAATGGGAAGGATTTACCCAGGGTGGTCAGCTGCAAAGACTGGCTGTGACCACTGACCACCTAGCTCTGCCATCTGTGGAGGATCAGCTATACCAGGGCAGAGTGGTGGTTCTCTGATGTGGTCTGTAGCTATTCACTAAGTGTGCTGGCCCTAGGGTCTCCTGGATGGTGCAGGCCAAGGTCAGTCCCCATCTGTGTTTTTCCCAAGGGTACCCTGCCTGAGCTGTAAAGCAATCTGAGTTGGCTGCTGCTTGTGCTGGGCGTGGAGATTCTCAGGCAAAGCCAATCTGTGAATCTAATCTGGCTTCCACTAGGGCTCACTAAAGCTTGCTATTGCTTGGTTGATAGGATTTAAGAGCTAAGTCCAGCCATTCTTATGGAAAAGCAGCTTGGGTAGGCCCATAAATTGGGTGGGGCAGGGCTTCTGGGGAAGCCAGGTTCATGTAGTCTCAGATATGGCACCAGCTTGCTGCCTCTTTGGGGCAGGGTTAATAAAAGGGACAATGGTCTCTGCATGCCTGGATGCCAGACACTTCAGTTTATTCCTGTATACCACTGGTGCCTTGGTAAGCACCAGTGCTGCTACCCTGGAGCTAAAGTTCAGAGGGAATGAGTCTGAGTAGGTGAGTCCCTGTGTGGGTTCTTTAAGAGGAACTGCTTGGAGCTCCAGAACTTTCTTCCACCAACTCAATCCTCACTGCTTTTTACAGCCAGAAGTTATGAGAACTTATCTTCCTGGCACTGGAATCCTGGGCTGGGGGACCTGGTGTCAGTCTGGGATGCCTCTCTCCTGAGATATCCCTCCTGAATTTTTATCCACGTGGGTGTTGGGCCAGCCCATTCTATGTCTGTGCCCCTCCTTCCAGTCTAGATGGATGTGGTTTCTTTAATTCTGTAGATGTCAGACTTCCATCCAGCTTGATTTCTGATGTTCCTGAGTGACGGTTGTTCTACATTTTAGCTGTATTTTTGATGTGGTTGTACAAAGAGGTGAGCCATATCTGCCTATGTTGCCATCTTGACCAGAAGTCAAAGCTATCATTTAGAATCAAAGGACAGATAAAGAGCTTCCCAAATGTAAGTAGCTAAAGGAGTTCATCACCACCAAACCAATATTACAGGAAATGTTAAAGGGATTTTTTTAAGAAGAAAAAAAGAAGACAAAAATGTAAGCAATAAAATGGTGATAAATACGTTATCTACCAACAATTACTTTAAGTGTAAATGAATTAAATGCTCTAATCAAAAAACATAGGGTGACTTAATGCATAAGAAAACAAGACCCTTATTTATGCTGTCTACCAGAGACTGACTTAGACTGAAAGACACACACAGACAAAAGTAAAGGTATTTCATGAAAATGGAAATTAAAAAAAACTGAGGTAGCAAATCTTATACCAGACAAAATAGCCTTTACAGAGGCTATATAACAAGAGCAAAGAAGGACCCAGCAATTCCAATTCTGGTTATTTATCTGAAGAAACAAAAAAAACTAATTTGAAAATACATATGAACTTATATGTTCATTGCAGCATTATTTACAATAGCCAAGATACAGAAGCAACCTAAATGTCCATCTATAGATGAATGGACACAGAAGAAGTGGTGCATATATACAGTGGTGAAATATGACCCAGCCACAAGAAAGAACAAAGTCTTTCCATCTGCCACAACATGGATGGACCTACAGGTTATTGTGCTGGGTAAAGTAAGTCAGATGAAGAAAGACAAACACCATATAATTTTATTTATATGTGGAATCTGAAAAACTAAATAAATGAACAAACTAAACAGAAGCAAATTCATAGATAACAGAGAGTATTTTGATAGTTGCCAGATGGGAGGTAGATTGAGGAGATGGGTGCAAAAGGTGAAGGGACTTAGAAGTACAAATTGGTAGTTACAAAATCGTCATGAGGATGTAAAGTACAGCATAAAACAATATAGTCAATAATATTGTAATAACTATGTATGGTGTCAAATGGACACTAGACTTATTGGGGTGATCACTTCACACACTATATAAATGTCTAATCACTGTGATGTATATCTGAAACTAATGCAATATTGTACATTAAGCCTAAATGAAAAATACATATTTATTTTTATAAAAACAGAACAAAGGCATCTGCCTCAGTAAAAGTGGCATCTGCCTTCTGTCAAAGTGATCCAAGCTCTGGGTGCCATCCCACCGTGTGGAGGGGTCATGCCAGCCTTTCTGTTAGGGGAGTGAGGGGTGAGGGGACACTGGCCCACAGGGGTGAGGTTATACTGAGCTGCTTGAATGGGTCTGGCAGCAGCCCTGTGGCGTTGACATATAAGGAAAAGCACTGCAGAACTGGCTGGCAGGACTTCAAGGGGCCTTACCCTTAACTTGGGCTTGCCTTTTCTTTTTGCCTCGTACTTTTGGAGGGCTGCAGTCACAGCAGACTTTGCAAAGGGCCTTCTGCAAGTTTTCCTCACTTGAGTCCCTTCTCAGGCCGGTTCCACACTGTCCAGCCAGCTAGCTGTCACTGCCTGCTTTTCTCTAGATCAAGCCAGTGAAAGACCTACTCTACACATGGAGTTTTAAAAAATATTCAGAAGTGCCCTCAGTCCTATTTGGACACATCTGCACAATATTTTGTCCCTCCCCTCTTCCCACGGAGTGGTATAGGACAGCCTGCTGCTAGGCTCCAGCATGGATTGCCCAGCCTTTTCCTCTAGAGCATGATGGTCAAGTCTGAGGCCTGGAGTGTTCATCTGGCTCTGTCCTCACTGCTGCTGGGTACGTCCTATAGGCTGTTCCTTGTTAGTTACGAATTCCCAGCCTTTTCTATTATGAATGTGACACTGTTGCAGAGAGATATTCGTTCAAGGAGTTAGATATTCTCTCCCTCAACTGTCCTGAGATGCCTCAATTGGGGGGGGGGGGGGGACTGCAAGGCACATGTGATGTACTTCTCCAAACTGTGCCAGCTGCCCCAGGTAGCTGCTGAATTATACATGGGTGCCGTGCCGGCTCTCTGCAGCATTGCTCTCCCCTGGCGCACAGAGCTCTGTCACAGGAGGGACACACAGGCCCTGCGGGGACTGGGAGCTGTGGGAGGCAGTTACCTTCTACATGGGGGCTCAGGGGCTGAGCTCTTAACAAATGGGAAGCAGGTACAGAGTCTGACCTTCCATTTGAGTGTTCTTTCTTTGCGCGCTCGCACACACACACACAAATGCTAAATGTTTAAATATCGAACTGTTAGGTTTTGAAATAAAGAAAGGCAAGAAACACAAAAAAGTCAGAAGTGTCAAATTTAACATTCTGGTCAGATAAGAATCTGCCTTTCACTGCACCTACATGATTAACTGTCAGCTCCATGATTTGGCATCTTTCTCTTCCTTGCGTATTTTCTTCATTCTTATTGTATTCCAGTTATGTCTCCTCATCTCCCTCCCACTGAAAAACAAAACAAAACCTTCCTTTGTTACAACAACTAAAAGGCCACCTTACACAGAGTGGGCCCACAAAAGCTATCAATTAGACGAATACATGACATAAATGTGCCATGAGTTAATTTCCTTGTTTATGGCTCATTTCTGTCACATGTCAAAGAGGCCATCACCCCCACATGCCAACTCTGGAAGTATGACAGGTGGTCAGGAGACCGTTTGAAAAACAAGTGGAAGTACCTGACAGCAATGAAGGAAACGAGGGAGGGATGGTGAGTTGTTTTTGTTGCTGATCAGTTTTAAGTAGTTTGGGAATGTAGGATTCCTCAGGCAGTGAGTGGCTGATTCAAACAGTCTTGCTTTATCCATTCACATGCCCTCTCTTCACACTGATTTTTGACCGTCTGTTACATCTCTGGAATTGGCTGGTGGTGGCCACGTTGATATGTGTGAGGAAGTCACATATACATGTAAACTTGTGGTGTTTCTTCATCTAATGAATAGCTTTTGTGGGTCAGAAAGGCCAGCTCTGCAGTATACCCAGGTTTAAGGGTGTGTTGAAAGTGTGTGTATTTGCCATCTGCCTTGTTGCTATGTATGGTGCTCTCAGAATATCGTCAGTTTCTTTTTCTTCTATCGGTCTGACAGGTGGTGACCAAGAAGGAGGACTTCTTCAGTGCCTGGAACTCATGTCTGTGTCATGGCGCCTGCCTGTCTCCAGCACACATTCACAGGGGTCAGTGGCTCTCGCTGAGTATTCATAATTGAGTGATGCAGAGGCTATCTGGAAATGAGACTCTGCAGAGAAAAGACAGTCCCCACGCCAGTCTGAGCCCTCGTATTGAATTTAGGGTTCCCAAGTACCTTAACTCTCACTTACTAGGAACACTGGCTGAATGACACCCACAGACTCCCACACTGAACCCAGGAGCAGTGAGCCTCACGCACCCGCCATCGCTAGCAGCACTCGGCAGGAGCCAGCTGGCAGCCGGCGGGTCCACAGCAGTGGCCCTCTGCCCAGCAGTGACTGCTGTTCCCAAGTAAACAAATGGGAGGTGCATTCAAGATAAAGAGAGGGCCTTTTAATAGGATCACTGCCTGGAGTTTGTCAAGTACCAGAGCTAACTACTTAAGCCTAATCCCTACGTTAGGAAGAAACCAGTTCAGCCTTTTAAAGCTGTGGCCTCAACCAGAGGCAAGTGTGCCCTCCAGGGGACATGCAGGGACATTTTGAGACATTTTTGGTGGTCACAACGGAGCCGGGTTTGCTCGTGGGCAGAGGCCAGGGACGTCCTGCAGCGCAAGCGCAGCCACAACCAAGGGCAGCCCTGCCCCAAAGGTGAGCCATGCAGAGGGTGAGAAACCCTGAATGTTCATTTTGACCTCAAAAGACCAAAATCACATGAAATAAAATGAAACATTGAAAATAGTAAAATCCATGATGATATGGAAGATCATTCTTGAAATTATTGTTTAACCTCTAGACTCAATTAGTGGATCGGTCGCCATGCCTGAACCCGCTGGGTGGGGGGCGGGGACGGGGCGCGATGAAGAGAAAGGCAGGCCCTGTGCATGTTTGCTGTGTGGGGTTCTCTGTCACCCAGGGTGACTGCTCCCCCAGGAAGGCAGGGACAAGTGTGGTCACCACACAACTCCAGGGCCTGGCTCCCAGCCCTATGGCTCCCTGAGTGAAGAAGTCTCAGGGCCGGAATTCCTTGGTGGTTTCTGTTGAGAGCAAACCAGTGACCCAGCAATGAATGCCAGCATCCCACCCGACCTGCTGGCCAGGCAGTTCCTGAGGAGAAAGTGCCACGTCATCCACCGCAGTGGGGCTGCCAGGACCCTCCCTCAGAGCGGACCAGGGCTGACTGCAGTGAGCAGTGTAGGCGCAGATAGTCCAGCCCTTGGGACCTCAGTGAGCTCAGGACCCGGGTCCGGAGTAAAGGCTGGAAAAAGAATGCAGAGGTGACTGTGTCAAGAGCACAGGTTCCGCATGGGGTTGGGGAGCCCACAGGCACACCACACTGGGGACCTGCCTTTTTACAGTCATTGAAAGGTGTAACGCCCCATAGCGTCCCAGCTTCTGATTGACTGCCACCTCCTGCTCTTTGGGATGAGGAGAGGGGCTGAGGGGGCAAAGGTTCCTTTTCTACAGGTTGTTCAGGAGCATCGAGTTCCCTGTTTGCAGATCCAGAAATTTTAATTTGTCTTCAGCTCACTATGAGTGAGGCTCAGGGGAACTGATTCACTTTAACTGAACTCAAGTGTAACCAGAATGCCAGTGTATTCACCCCAAATCAAAACCCAACTGGTGAATCACACATACCTGCTCCATCCTCTCTGTGGAAAAATTTCTGAGTGGAGTTCAGTTGTAATCCAAAGGGTGCAGGGATTGGACTGTCCGCATGGTTCTTGGTGGGGATCTGAGCATCCACGTGGGCTTGCTGGTCTTGGAGGCCTCACCCTGGTGCCCACAAGGCGTCTGCTTCCTGGGCTGTCCTGGTGCATAGCATCAGCCTCACCTAGGACATTTATGTAAACCACCCCCCTTCCTTTGGTGGGTTATGTTTTCAGATTTATTGATCAGGCTGAAACTTACCTGGGATATGATGCAGCACTCAAGATGACTCAGGTCTTCTCGTCCACTCCACGTACAGTTTCACGGCTTTGCTCTCGGGGGCTGTGGCCCTTGTGCCTGGGCTCCTCGCTGTGTACCAGCCACGGCCATCGCCCTCCCTGGGATGCGAGGATGAGCCTTGAGCCATGTGGATGCTGGGTAAAAAGCTTGTAAACATTTAGAGATGGGACTAAATTTGAAGAGGCCATCAAAGAATCATAAACTCGTGCCTTCATCTTAGAAACACAGACCGGCACATCTCGAGCTGCTCACCCCACCTGTTGAGAGCATAAGACAGTTTATCGTGGGTGGGGAACTCATCTCCAGTCAGGCTATCTGCATTCAGAGGCTTTTTTTTTTTACCCCTACCCATTCTGTGATGGCAAGTGATTATTAATCGACCTTTCTGACCATCGGTCTCATCCTTACTTACAAAATCCAGATACTGTGATATTTACCTCAGGGGGCCATTGAGGAGATACTTGAAAGCATCTGACCCATAGTGTTCAATATATGCTTTATTACTGTTTATTATTACTCTACAAAATCCGTAGTTCCTGTAATCGACATGGAACATTTAGTTCCTTGTTCCTTAAGAGGAAGCAAAAGAAAAAAGACAGGTTAGGTTCTGATGTATGAAGTCTTAAACAAGGAAGAAACATCAAGGATTTGATGTTGCTACAGCACAAAAGAAATCCAGACCTTTTATTGGTTAATAACCACTGTAACAAAGGTGATTATTTTCAGAAAATTGGCCTCAGGTTTAATGCCAGATGGAAAGGATTTGGCTGTATAAAGTAACAGAAGAAAAATAGTAAGAATTCATTTAGTGGCAACAATTACAAATCTTGGGAGCGTTTGGAAATAGAGAAATCCATTGAAAATGAGGAGGCCTGTCCGAGTGGGCTCTCAGGGTAGACATGCTGAGCACACAGAACCCAGGCAGAATGTGGTCAGCACATCGTTGCCTTCCAACAGCAGGTGACCCTCCAGAAGAGGCCTGGCAGGAAGGGGGCTGCGAGGGGGGCAGGGCGGAACGGAGAGGGGTAGGGGAGAAGCAGGGGAGCCCCTTCATCTTCAGGGCTGCCTGATGTTGCCTGTGGAGACATTGGAAGGGGAGCACAGGAGGGAGGGGAAGGATCAGCCAGTGAATGCACAGACCTTTACGTCACCCCAGATGAAAATGAGCTCGGGATCTAGCCACTTTTATTAGGAACAAATGGGGAAAAGCCTCCGGCATCAGTATTCGTGTGTCACCTGAGGACTCGGGGAAAACAGGGTTTGAAATAAAAATGTTAAGCAGTCTCTAGTGGTTTCTGAAGTGGGATGTGACCATTACAATGATAAATTGTTATTTTCTTATGATACACATTTTTATCTTGCCCTAGAAATAGCAATTCTGAGGCGTGGAGCTGTCTGAATCCCTAAGGGTGTACCAATTCCTCAACTAAGCACTTTTATTAAATAAATTACATCCCCCATCCTCCAGCTCCGTGCAGAACTGTCTCTTGTTTCCCCCCCCTCCGCCCCCCTCGCAAAGCTTGTGACTAGTGCTCATTATGCTGCAGGAAGTCTCTCTTTTGGCTCTTAATAAAGGGACCAATAACTTAGAATGTTCACATTACAAGCAGGTTGCAATTATAATTAGAATATATAAATAGTGTGGATTTCTGCCTATTGGAGGATTAATTTCAGACTCCTTTCAGGGATGTTTTATTTCCAAATAGGACTTTGTTAATAAAAATCGGTTGTGTGTGTAATTAGAGGATCATTCCTGTATTTGACTCATGAGCGCTTGTTCCAGTGTTCTTCAGGGGATCCGCACCTCCCTTCCCATTGTTAATGGGACCCTGTGTTCTTTATACAAACCACATGCACCCTGACTTCATTTCGGTTTGGCATCTATCTTCTGGGAAATTCGGGGAATGTACTTACCACCTCCTTGAATGTGCATTACATTATGTGAGCTCAGACAAGCAAAATACCCAATGTCATCCAGAAGTCGTGTGTAAGTTTGGGTACTTCTTTTACATTCAGCTACAGAAGTCCCCAGAGGCCTGTGTCCTTCCCAACCAGAAGGGCGAACCTGACCTCTGGGGTGGAACCAGAGGTCGTGAGTACACCGCCTCGTTCTTTGGATAATAGGTCCTACACTGTTTTGTGCTGGAAGGGAAGGTCTGGCTGGTGAGGTAGGAGGGCACTAGCTGTGACAATCTGGGTGCCCTCCCCCCCTCCTGTGGGCACACCCTGCTGGGGGTGCCTATCTTTAGAGTGGTCCCAGTTCCCTGAGGAGGTGGCCTGGGGAGCTGGAGGAGATGTCTCTGTTGCTGACCTTTCTCTTTGTCTGGCACCCTTAAATTTGTGGGTGGCAGAAGCAGACAGGGGGTCTTGAGGGCCAAGGATCTCACAGACCAGCACCTTAGAGACCCCAACGTTGGGGAGGGATGATCTGGCTTTTTTTTCTCTGTCTGGGTCACGAAGACGAACTTCAGACCCCTCCACTCCTGAGAGCAGTGCAGTCACTGGGTCCCTCATTCCCAAAGACTCGGGCAGTAGAGAGGCGTCCTCTGGAAATGCGGGAGGTGGCAACTTTCAGGAGAAAAGGAAGTGAGAACTGGCACTTTCACAATCCTCCCCAAGGGAGAGAGGAGGGTGGAAGCCAATGGAAATCTGAGGGAGGCACCTGGTGAGGTGGGAAGGGCTAAGTAGGAGTGAGAGGGTCCTTTGTGCTAATACAAATGATGGCTCTGAAAAATAAAAAAGAAGAAATTTGACTGAACTTCACTGCATGTGAACCCTTGGGAGAGCCTGCCCTGGGCTGCATTGAGTTTAATTTTGTGCCTCATCAGCAAATGGACACAGGGAAAAAGGAAGTTCTACAAGGCGGACTGCCCAGCATCACACTAGATGCTAATATAGCGTTACTCGTCTTTTGGGCCTCAGATGACAGCAGACGACTGTGGTGATGCCTGCTGTCCCCATTGACTGTTTCCTCCATGCCACGGCCACACTGAGCACGTGGCTGTTGTCATCCCTTTCTCCACAACATCACAAAGCCTGTTGAGGAAACCGAGGCTCAGAGGTGAACAATTGCCTGGATCCCATACAAGTATGGTGCT